CTTCTTCCCCCTTCTTCCCCCTTCTTCCCCCTTCCCCCTTCCCCCTTTCCCTTCCTTTCCCTTTGCTAATACAACTCTTAAAGTAGATTTTGTTGTGTATCTTGTGATCTGTTCTCAAGCCTGAAGATATAAGAGCGGAGGGAAGTGGAACTGTGGTTGGTATGCAAAAATAAATAAAATTATTTTTTAAGAATTGTCTTTGTTTAATGAGCAGAATTCCCAACAACTTGAAGTAATGTGTAAATTAATCTGCTCAGTGTGCATTAATGTTCACCTAGTATTACAATTTTATAATTTTTTTACTCATTTCAGGAGTGACCCATCTCTCCCCAAAAGGGCAGAGAACCCACCATAATTCTCAAGGCCTTCTATGACCAGTTCAACCTACCAGACTCAGGGCTTAGGTTAAATTATTCATTTAAAATATCTTGGAAATCCATTTTTTTAGTAGTGTCTCACACTGAATATGTCACTTGGTTGGTAAAGTGTTTTCCTGCATGCATACAACTCTGAGTTCTCCAACACTGTGTGATATGATGATATATACCAGTAATCCCTTCCCTTGGGAGGTAGAGAGATGAGGAGCTAGAGTTCAATGTCATTCTTAGCTACATAGAGAGTTCTAAGTTAGCTGGGACAAGTGAGACCCTGTCTCAATAGATGATAGATAGATATATCTAAAGATAGACAGACAGACAGACAGGCAAACAGATGATAGATAGACAGATGATCTCTAAGTAATGTGGCTGGTTTATTTCTCTTCTTCAGGAAAGAATAGACTCTTTCCTTCTTTATGAACCTTAGGTCTCTGGAGCAGTCCGGATTTATATCCTCTGTGGAATCTGACTCTTTGCCTGTCTTTTCAGCTCTGTCCTTTTAAATATTCTTTTACACTTTGTGTAGCCAAAAGAGAATTTTATTGTTTATAAACTGCAGATTTAATGAATGAATCCAAGTACACAGAATACCTTAAAATACAAATCACAATATAAACTAGAGTTTGCCTTCTTGGCCAGGAGTAGATAAAAGGTCTTTTCATTGTCTAAAACTTCATTCTAAACTTAGTACCAAACAAGAAGAGACTACAATACTTACATTTTTTCCTATCCATCCATTCCTCTAGCTCTCCAAAGTTTATAATCTGTCTTGTCCTCCAAAGACCAAGGCGATGTCTAATACGGTGGATCAAGCACTGGTACATGGTGATGACTGCTTTCAAACTCGGTCCATGACACGAAGACTATGAAAATCAGAAATATGATAATGTTCTTCATATATTTTTATTATTTATACCTATTTGGGCATCTACAGTGAACAGTTTAAGTAAAAGCCATTCTTGAAAGTCTTCTGCATAGAAAAATGCCTCCACCACTGTCCTCTGTCCCCTACTCTCATCAAAATACCTTTTGTGCTGGTTAGTTTCTTGTTATTGTGACACAAGCTAGACTCATCTGGGAAGAGAAAGCCACAATTGAGAAGATGTCCAATTGCATCGCCTGTAGGTAAGTCTTTGGGGACATTTCCTTGATTAACTATTGCACAGCAGAACTCAGCCAACCAGGAGTTGTGCCAGTCCTGAGCAAGTGGGGTTGGGTGTATGGGAAACCAAGGCAAATAAGCCATGGCAAGAAAGCCGGTAAGCACCATTCCATGGCTTCTGCTTCAGCGCCTGATTGTAGTTCCTTTTCCTTCTCTGCCTTCCTTCAGTGACTGAGATCATGCTGGGTAAAGAACAAACACCACTCTCACAAGTAGCTGTTGGTCCTGGTATTTTACAATAGAAAGACAGAAAAGGAGAGCAACCCAGGACACCTTTCCTCCTGTGTCAGACTGTGCTCCTCTGAGTTGAGAGTAAAAGTAAATCCAGTTTTACACTGCTTATTGCCAAGTAATTAGTAATACTAAAAAAAGTAACTAATATAAAATATATGATAAAATATAGATCAAGTTTTCTAACAAGAATATAATACAAAAGTCATCATAAATTATTGATTGATATTTCCCAATTCTTATTGCCTTAACAGCTAATCAAAACTACCTTCTGGGATGCATTTCATTCTGTCTTTTATGTGACTCTGTCATGTGGCTTCTTTCAACACAGTGACACTTAGTGGTACAAATTTCCTCTCCTGATTAGAAAGAGCAGACCCTTCCTTGTTTACTTTCCATTGTTCTGTTCCAGCTGTGAAGCACCAGCTACTGTTTTTTTCACTAATTTTTGTGCTGTTCAGGGATTTGTAAGAGAACATTAAAGACTAGTGTGGTTTCTTAACCCTGGTACCTATCTTAATAAATGTGTTTGTGTTGATTTATTTCAACTCTTAGGAAATGATATTATAGGCCTTGAGAATCCTGTCTAAGAGGTCTGAACTCCATAATATACAAAGAGCTCAAGAAATCAGTCATCAAAAGAACAAATAATCCAATAAAAAAAATGGAGTACAGACCTAAACAGAGAACTTTCAACAGAGGAATATAAAATGGTTGAAAGACACTGAAGGTAATGTTCAATATCCTTAGTCATCAGAGAAATGCAAATCAAAACAAGCCTGAGATTCCACCTTACACTTGTAAGAATGGCCAAGATCAAAAACATTGATGACAATTTACACTGGAGAGGTTGTGGGGTAAAAGGAACACTCCTGCATTGCTGGTGGGAGTGTAAGCTGGTCCAGCCCCCTTGAATGTCAGTGTGGCAATTTCTCAGAAAATTAGGAAACACTCTTCCTCAAGACCCAGTAATACCACTTTTGGGTATCTATCCAAAGAATACTCAATCGTGCCACACAAGGACATGTGCTCATATGACATAGTTTGTCATAGCCAGAACCTGGAAACAACCTAATGACCCTCAACTGAATAATGGATAAGGAAAATGTGGTACATTTACAAAATGGAGTACTACATAGCCAAAAAAAATAATGACATCTTGAATTTTGCAGGAAAATGGGTGGATCTAGAAAATATTATTTTGAGTGAGGTAACCCAGACTCAGAAAGACAATTATCACATGTACTCACTCATAAGTGGTTTTTAACCATAAAGCAAAGAAAACCAGCCCAAAAATCACAATCCCAGAGACCCTAGACAACAACGAGGACCCTAAGAGAGACATACATAGATCTAATCTACATGGGAAATAGAAAAGAACAAGATCTTCTGAGTAAATTGGGAGCATTGGGACCTTGGGAGAGGGCTGAAGGGGAAGGGAGAGGAAGGGAGGGTAGGAAAGAAAATGAAGAGTTCAATAAAAATCAATAATAAAATAAAAGAATCCTGTCTAAACACTGACATATGGCAATAACCAAGAGGGTTTTTATTACAAACCTCTTAAAGTAAGAAGGAAAACATACTTAAATGACTAAGTCCATGAAATAAAATTCAAAATAATAAAATGAAATAAAAAGAATACTCTAAATAGTTGCCTTAAGCTCATACTCATAAGCACACACTTAAATATGTAAGTAATAAATAAAGGAAACATCAATTGTGATTTAGATATCCATTTCCTAGCCAGTAAAATGTTACTGACAATCTTAGTCAAGCAGAATGAAGAAGGCACTGTGTCTCTTTCCTCAATTTGGTATCTACCACATACCTATTTATTAGGTTATTGTCTTTCTAATAGAATGTAATTCCTTCATAATAGAAATCTTAGATTTCCATTAAATTTTCTTCAAGAAGCCAGGTGGTAGTAACACACACCTTTAATCCCAGCACTCAGGAAGTGGAGGCAGGTGGATTTCTGTGAGTTCAAGGCCAGCCTGATCTACAGAGCTAGTTCCAGAACAGCTAGGACTGTAACACAGAGAAACCCTGTCTCAGAAAAAAAAAAAAAAGAAGTCTGCAAGGTTCAGAACATTCCTGCAACTTATTTGGAGCCTAATGCCTGTTTCTTAGACTAAGTAGAAACATAAAATGGCACATTGGGGTCAGCTAAATTGTTTTTGCTAAATATTCTGAATCTGTCTCTTAGGCAAGTGTGCCTTCTGAATATTCTGTTCATGCCCATAAATTTTAGAAACATTCTTTTTTTTATGACAACTAGAGTCATGGAAACAGACATCTTTGTTCTAGAAACTATGTACAGTAATGAGAGAATTCTATAAAAGAAATACTGAGATAAATCACAGTCAAAGGGAAATAGAAGGTCTATCCCATAAATGTTAAAGCAATAACCAGAGGTAAAAGAAATTAAGAGCATGCTTATTCGTAGAAAATCAAGAAGGAAGTTAGGTTAAGTCAGGAGACTGCAATGTTGTAAGGAATGACTGTGGCAAGGCCTTTTGTTGTTTTAGTACTGATAAATTCATGGAGTATTCTGAAGAAAAATAAAGTTCATTTTTAACGTAAAAGTTTACTTTAAATATATTAATTTAACGTGTGACTATATCACTTTTCCCCATAATCATGTCCCTTCCTTCCAACACATCCCATGCTCCCTCACTTCCTCTCAAATTGCTGGTATCTTTTTCTTTGCTTTTGTTTTTTACACACACCTTTATACACATTTCATACACACACTTGCACAGAGTGATATTTAAATACAACCAGCACAGTAGTTTTGTTTTTTATGTGTATATGATTTTAAGGATGACTGTTTTGAAAAAGTTAAATACTTTAAGTGGCATGGGGACGGCTCCAGAGTGAGAATGTTTCAGTTGGGTACAACAGGGCAGCTGCATAATAAGGAGCAGAGACTTCACTGAAGCAAAGGAACTCCACTTAGTGGGAGAAGAGACAGGACAGAATAATTAACAAAATAAATAACTTTTGTCACAAGGTACTTTGAAAGAAATTTAAGATGAAAGGGTAAATATTTCAACTTTTCTGTGGCCCATTCTCCTTTTTGAGTTGTAAATCCACATTTCCAATGAACTTCTAGCTATCTAAAACATCTCTCACAGGTACATCAAACTCAGTGTTTGTGGTAGTTTGAATGTCATTGACCCCAATAAGCTCTTGAAGAGTGGCACTGCTATGAGGTGTGGCTTTTTAAACACGAATGTATTTATTTATTTATTTACTCATTCATTCATTCATTTTTCATCCTGGCTGCAGATTCCTCTTCCTCCTCTCCTCCCAGTCTTCCCTCCTCAGCCCCCACTTCTTCCCACTCCCAATCTAATGGACAGGTCTCCCATGAATATTAACAAAACATGGTGTATCAAGTTGCACTAAAACTAAGCACCTTTCCATGTATTAAGGCTGGGTAAGGCAACCTGATGTAGGTGGATCTTCGTTCTATTTGTTGCTTTCATTGGTTAGTTAATAAAGAAAACTGCTTGGCCTGATAGGTCAGAACATAGGTAGGTGGGGAAGACAGAACAGAATTGTGGGAGAAAGAAAGCAGAGTCAGGCAGACGTGCTGAAGCTCCAGCCCAAGATGGACGTAAGTTAGAATCTTCCTGGTAAGCCACCATCTAGTGGTGCTACACACATTAATAGAAATGGGTTAATCAAGATGTGAGAGTTAGCCAGTAAGAGGCTAGAGCTAATGGGCCAGGCAGTGTTTAAATGAAGACAGTTTCCGTGTAATTATTTCGGGTGTAAAGCTAGCCAGGTGGCCAGGAGCCGGGTGGATCAAAAAGCAGCCCACCGCTCCTTCTACAAATGGTGCCCACATGAGAAACAGGGTCCCACAAGCCAGTAAAAGAGTCAAAGAGAATGCTTGTTCCCACTGTTAGAAGTCCAATAAGAGAACCAAGCTATACAAATATAGCATATATGCAGAGTGCCTAGCTCAGTCTCATTCAGGCTCCCTGGTTGTCGGTTCAGTCCCTATGAGCCTCTATGATTCCAGGTTAGTTGATTCTATGAGTTTTCTTGTGGTGTTCTTCTCCTCTCTGCCTCTTACAATTCTGTCTCCTCCTCTTCAGTGGGATTCCCCAAACTCAGCTTAATGCTTGGCTGGGGGTTTGCATCTATTTTCATCAGCTGCTGAAAGATACCTCTCTGATGACAATTGGGCTGGGCACCAGTCTGGTCACAGGGGATGACCAGATCAGGCTACTTATCCACTATTGCTAGGAATCTTATCTGGAGTCATCCTTGTAGATTCCTGGAGATTCCCTTGCACCAGGCTTTTGTCTAACACCGAAATGCCCCCCCCCCCGCTGAGTTTCCAGTTGTCACATTCAGTACTTACTCCCTCCATACCCCCAAAACATGATCACTCCTGCTCCCATCTCTACCAGCCCTCAGTTCAACCATGAAATCTCTTCTATTTCCCCTTCCCAA